AATTCAAACTGCATCATAAATTTTTGTTGATTAATCCCCAGGGAACTTCCAAAACGTGGGGTTGACACGAACATCAGTGGAAAAGTCATCCAGCAATTTGGGAATTACGTAGAGACCTGGAAGAATGATAGCACATATACAGTGAAAATAACATCAAATCACCCCTACGTACCCTCGGATCAGACGTACATGTTTGATATTTTATCGAGGAGACTAGAAATTCTAGAGAATTACTGCACAGACGTGGGCAAGAGGATCTCTGATCTGTGGCCCAAGGACAAGGAGATGATTCTCACAGAGAACGGAATGGCAGCCATTCAGGTGCCCTTCAGGACATACGGTCGAGTCAAGTGCGAGAGAATTGGAACTGGTAGTTTTATCCTGCAGAACTGGTTTGTCTCTGAGGACGAGGAAGCCCCTGACGGTGAACCTTCCACGAGAATAAAAGAGAATTCAGTGTTGACAGTTCTTAATTTGTCGTCGTTGAAATCATTCTCCATTTTTCCTGGAGAAATGATCGTCGTTGAAGGGATTAATCCAGGAAGTGACAGTTTTATCGTCAGGGAGATGAGGTCATTGGTTGGGGTACAGCCAACACCTCCACTCCAGATGGAGCACACGATGCAGGTTGTCTTGGCTTGTGGACCTTTTACTCAGAGCGATCGACTCGACTTTCAACCACTCATTAATCTCATGCAGAATGTCGCTGAGACTCAACCCAATTTACTTGTTCTCGTCGGGCCCTTCATTCCTCAGGATAACGAGGACATCAAGCAAGCTATTGTTGTTAACACTCTTCAGGAAGTTTTTGAAGAATTCCTCGAGAAGATTATGAATTTTGTTAAAGGGTAAATCCCTATTTTTTTAGTTTTTTAATTTTAGATATTGCTTCATTTCGTTTGAATAGAAAAAATCGTGTGGTCTCTCTTTAGGGTTGTGAGTTTTCTCGATAATTTTAAAGTTTAAATGTGAATTGTCTTACATTTTTCCTTTTTTAAATCAATTCTGAATATTTTATTTCATTGTCTATTTTTTTTAGCTTTTCAATTTTACAAAATTTAAAATTGTGAGTTTTCTCAACAGTTTTAAAGTTTAAGTTTTAATTTGAATCAATTTCAGATCTTCCACGCAAGTTCTTCTGATACCATCAAGCAGAGATGCTCATCACGACAACATCTACCCAACTCCAGAGTATTTTATCCCACAATCACTGAAATCCCCAAATATTCACACAACATCAGACCCCTGTATGATAAGTATCGATGGACTCTCGATAGGCGCCACATCTGTCGATATTTTGAAGCATCTAGCAGGAAAGGAGATGAGCCAGTGAGTTGAGATCGTTATCCTCTTTATCAAATCTCTTTCCGATGTTTTGTTACTGTAGATTTCCTCCTCCACAACCAGAATCTTCATTCGCACATTCGTCCTTGATTTTTCAGCAATATGGGCGGTACAGACAGAGTCATCCGTCTAGCCGAACACGTGTTGCAGCAGGCCTGCTTCTACCCCCTGTACCCACCATCCAAACAAATAAATATGGACATAGAGATGTGGGAGAAATACGGCCAGATGAAATACAGGCCACACATTCTTCTTCTACCTTCATCCTTGAAGCCCTTCTGCAAATGGAGCGATGACACATTCATCATAAATCCAGGGGATATGTCCAAAAATCTTTACGCCAGACTGAAGATTCGTCCCAATTGGGCATCAGATTGTCTTGATTGTGAAATCCTAAAAGTCTGATTTTTTAATAAATAATCCAGAGTATTCAATTCGTGGAATGTGATATCAATCTGTTTTTTGGACTTTTTTTCAAATAAATAGTACATAATCCGTAAGTTCATTATCTCTCACGAGGAAAAATCATAAATGCGACAAAAATTCGTTGAACCGTAATCGTATTTCTGCTCCATCATTTATTATTCAACACTTATGCAACATTTCGGATTTAAAAAATTGCCGAATGTACACGTCAGAGTCACCGATATGCAGTGCTTTTTCCTTTTTTTT